GCCCATCATGGGGCCTTTGGATGGCTTTTGAAAAAATCCATATCAAGTCTCATTAGGAACACTGGTCATATTTTGAACAAAATGCTAATATTATAAAACATTTTAAAATTTAATCTCTTCTATACGCCAGTCACAGCAGATCTTTCATTTGCAATCTAATGTTATTCTCTATTGAGTCCTAAGGCAAAGTCTTATCATCGAACAGATAGGTGTGAGTGGCTACATTTCAAATGCAATCAATTCATTGACACATTACCACGGAAATGGCTCCACTTGCTTCCTCCCCACTGCTTAGCAGAATTTCTCTTGTTGATATCTTTGTGTTGGAAATGTATAAGGTAAAGGGATCTGTGAGTTCAGACTGGGCAATTTATGCCCTCCACAAGGGGCCTTTCTTATGTCCTGGTACTAGGGCTTGGCTTTCTGCAGAGAAAGGAGATCCCCCAGTTTTCCTTGCTGTGTGCTTACACAGTCGTGGTCCTTTCTCTGCAGGCAACACTTCCTCTTGTGCACACAGCAGGTCCCTTTTTCCCTATAGAGTGTCTCGTAACTGGGGCTCTGTTAACAACTGCGGGGCAGGGCAGTCACAGTAAGACGGCACTGCCTTCCCTCTACCTGACAAAATGCATTCCCCTGAGATCAGGAAGAAAAAAATAAAATAACCACCAGGAAGCCATAGACCATACATGTACTGACAACAATCTCTGGAGACGTTAGCTTTAGCTGTGGTTGTAATTTGGATGTCACAAGTGGAGGACTGCATTCCAGACACAAGATCTGGGACTAGAGGGCCCTACCCCAGCTGCTGCTTTCTCAAGGAAGCCCTGCCTTCCTTTGTTCTTCTATATTAATGGCCTTTAAGGATCTGCAAGATGGTTCTCATTTCAGCTGATCTTTAGGAAACATTTGTGCGGAGGAGGTACTCCTTTCAAATCACCTTTCTTTAGACAGGTTTCTGATCCGATGGTTCAAGGCCACATCCTGGCCATCTGGTTTCTGTAGCTCAGAGAATTACTGCTCCTGATAAATTGCTCTGAGTTCTGAGGCTACTGCTGTCATATTGCATTTTCTGACCATTTTCCAGGTCTCTCAAGACACACACACACACACACACACACACGCACACACACTCCTCAAGCCATTAGACTCCATTCCCATGTAGTATCCGAATAAGTTTTACAGCAAACCACACTAGAGAGAGTGAAGCTAGCAGAGCACAAGAAGCACACAGGAAAGGCTCAAAAAAGTTGCACTGAATGGAAAGCTTTGGAACCAGGGAGAGAGGGACGGAGCTGGAGATGACACCTCACCTGGAGGGTTCTCCCAGAGCACTTGTCAGGGGCAGTCAGATCTGAGGGGTGGAACCCAGGCACAGACACATTTTAAACTGCTGAACAACGGGTTCCCTGGAAGGAAGGAGTGGAGCGTGAGCTCCCCGTCTCTGGATAAGTACAAGCCAAAGTCGTACAACCACCTGATGGGGACACTGTGAAAAACAATTCAACCTCAAATTGGTGGTTGAGGCCCAGCACAGTGGCTCACACCTGTAATCCTAGCACTTTGGGAGAGTGGGGTGGGCTGACCACGAGGCCAGGAGATTGAGATCATCCTGGCCAACATGGTGAAACCCCGTCTCTACTAAAAATACAAAAAAAATAGCTGGGCCTGGTGGCACGCACCTGTAGTCCCAGCTACTCCAGAGGCTGAGGCAGGAGGATCCCTTGAACCCAGGAGGCGGAGGTTGCACTGAGCCGAGATCAGGCCACTGCATCCCAACCTGGTGACAGAGCGAGATTCTGCCTCAAAAAAAAAAAAAAAAAAAAAAAAATGGCTGTTGAATTGGAACAACTCAAAAAAGAACAGAAAGAGGCATGAGGGAGAGGAAATGAAAGGAAGACATTTTATGGTAATGTAATTAAATAAGTTAAATTAATAAAATTTAAAAAGATGTAGGAAGAAGGCCAGAGGCTGGGGACAATTCTGTGCATGTGCCAACATTTTGGACAGAAACTAGAGTGTTCCTGAGAGGGCTGGGACCTTAGTGGGCAGTTGGCAGAGTATGCCAGCACCCTGGTCCTTGGCCACAAACACCTAATCCTTTCTGCCTGTGGGTGGAGTCTTTGGGCCTGGCCACGCCCAGAAATCACAAGATCTAGCTAAGTGGTGTTTGCTCATCCATTAGGAAGCATGGCTCTGGTCAAACGGGCAGAGCTTTCAGCTCCTCTCCATTTGCCCTAGTGGCACTCAGGATCTAGAGGGTCTCGAGGAGGGTCCCCAATTCTTAGGACAGGGAGGGAAAGGAAAGGGCCTGTCTTCCCACAAGAGACCCATGACGAGAGGACTGAGTTGCACCAAAACTGCCGAGCACTCACTGGCCCAGCCAGGCCTGTTCGCAGAGAAGCAATCATATGGGTGGATTCCTAAACAGGCCCTAGGAATTGGGCCAGTCTTTGCCCCTTGCTCAGAGGTAGGATTTGCCAGTGGAACAAAGCAGCCGTCTTCCTAAAAGATAATATTCCTGAGTTGTGTCCCAGCTAGCGGGGTGGACTGCAGTGTTGGGTTGTGACCAGGGGCAGGGCTCAGTCTGTGGCCCTCAGAAGGGAATTTTTCTCCAAAACAGCTTTGCTGGTCTGGGAAGGGAACTTGGGCTCAGGCCCCAGGAAGTGTCACAGTCACCACCTATGCCAGAAGACAGAGCCGAGGCTGGGGTAGGACACTGAGCACCCCAGCTTCGGCCTGTTTCCCAGCCTGGACTGGTCCAATTAGGAAGACGCACAAAGAGGCTGAGCAATTTAAAGCAGGAAGAAGGGAGAGGGGAGATGGAATCTTTATCTGCTTCCCATTTCTGTCGCTTTCCTCTTCCACCTCTCTTCCCCGCCTCTTCCCATCTTAGTGGGATTCAGCTGAAACACACAGCAGCCCAATCCCTGTGCTTTAGGCTGGGCAGGAGCTCAGCCTCCCTTCTTGATCCACCATCTCTCCTGTTCCCCACCCAAGAAGCCCCCTTTCTAGGACTATGAAATCAGTGTTTACAACCCTGGTTCCACAGGTGCGCCCCCTTAGCACACCCTGACAGTGGTCCATGCATCATTCACTGAGCGCTCCCCACCCACCCACACACCACACACCCTGGAATCAGCCTGGCCAGGTTCTCCCCCTTTCCTGCTTAACATCATAACACCCGCTCGGAACTTGGTGTTATTTGTGACTTTTCTTGTGCAAGTCACAGCAGTTTAGTTCCTATGAATCCCATCCCTTCCCACCAGCTTCTCAGGGAACTCAAGGGCTGATGTGGAGACAGAAACTGGGCAATGTGACACCACACACAGCCACACCCCACTACACCAACAGTCTCTAGTGAAGAGGACGCTGACGCCCGCGAGTGCAAATGTGCGTGTACACACACTCAGACTCCGTGTTTAGGGTCTGCAGACACCCACCCTCCTCTTGCCACCTCCCCCTCACTTCCAGCCTGCCCTCGTTTTTTGTCACCCCACCCTGGAGTTGGAAGCACCAAGAGCAAGGCTGGATGCAAACACCTGGTAAAAAATCACGGGATGCTCACACGAACACGAAATCACACAAAGGATCCCAACGCGAGGCTCCAGGGACGCCCTCCGTCCGCGGTTTGCTCCTTCATCGCCCAGGCCTCCTCCCTCTGTCCCCTGACAAAAAGTCACCAAGCCCAGTTCAAATCGATTGTTTTATTGACTGTTTACATACAGACGCGTTTAGAAAAGGGCACGGGCTCCGGGGGGCTACTCCGCCCCAGGCCCGCGCTTGTGCTGCGCTGCGCCGAGAGGGCTGGTCCCGAGGACTGAAACTCCCCCCACCCCAACCCCCCACGCTTTCTTTCAAAATGGAAAAAGAACCTCTCCCCAAGTCGCCGCGCCGCGCCGCGCCCCTCCCCTTCCCTCCCTCCCCACCCATCTGCCCCACCGCCCGCCCCCCTACACGACACGGTCACACTTTACAGAACACAGACTTTTCTCCTACAGGGCACGCTTGTCTAGGACTACACGCGGGGCAAATACGATTCCCGCCGAAGCAGGGGAGGGTGGAGAGGGGCGGGGCGAGGACCGAGACGCGAGGACGGAGGGGCTGGGCTCCACCCGGATCCAAGCGCAGAGTCACGCGCAGGCTTTGTGCGAACTAGGGCGCGAGCTACCCCCCCACCCACGACAGCGGCGGCCCGGGAGACCACAGTCAGCTTCCCCCGCCCCCGGCGCTTTCTAGCTAGGGTCTGGGCCGGGTGGAGCCGCGGGAGGCGCACTGTCTGGCGCACTGACCTCCGGAAAGCCCAACACGCGGACAACGAAATTGGCCCGGGACCAAGTCCGCGCGCTCCGCCGCCAAGGGGCGCGCAGTCCTGCGGCGCTTGAAGTTGGGAGAGAGACGGCAGAAAACGCATTCCCTCCCCACCCCGCGACACACACACCGGATTTTCCCAAACGCTGGGAAGGGGGTGTTAGCACCAGACCCGAAATGTCGCTGTCTTTGAAAACAACGAAAATAGGAAAATCTGAGCGCGGAGCTGAACGGCGCCCCAGGCACCGGGCTGGACTCCCAACAGGCCAGAAGTGGGGTGGGGGTGGGAGGACGGAGGTTTTGAATCCCCGCGGGGAGGGGCATTTGGAACTGAAAACTAGGGGTTGCGGCGAATCCTGGCTTCTGGGAGTAGGGATTTGAAAGGGAGGAGGGGCCGAGCGCCGAGGCTCACGTTTGTAATCCCAGAAGTTTGAGAGGCCGAGGCGGGCAGATCACAAGGTCAAGAGATCCAGACCGTCCTGGCCAACATGGTGAAACCCCAACTCTACTAAAAATACAAAAATTAGCTGGGCGTGGTGGCAGGCGCCTGTAATCTCTGCTACTCGGGAGGCTGAGGCAGGAGAATCTCATGAAACCGGGAGGCGGAGGTTGCAGTGAGATCACCGCCACTGCACTCCAGCCTTCCGTCAAAAGGAAAGAAAGAAGGGATGGGGGGGAGGGAGGGAGGGAGGGAGAAAAGGAGAGAGGGAAGGAGGAAGGGAAGGAGGAAGGGAGGGAAGGAGTCGAGGCGGGACCCCACAGCACTCCACTGTCCCGGGCTGGCCCCAGAACCACGGCGTTACCAGGAGGTTTCCAACGTCTTCGCTCGTTTTCTCTGGCTCCAGAGCCTGTCATGGCTGCGGGGCGGATTTCGCAGATAATCGCGATGGGAATGGAGGGGCATAAATATCGCCCCATCGTCAGCGGGTGGTGTCTTACATGGGGGAAGAGGGACACTGTGCTTGGCGGGGAAAGGGATCCAGCCCGCAGGGAGAATGGCAGCCGTGGGTAGCAGGGACTGGTGAAAGCTGCCCACTCCCTATTAGAAGTCCCTGGTAGTTCAAGGTTGGGGAGTAGAAAGGGGGAGGAGTAGGTGAAGGCTGAGGGCGGGGGACAGAAGTCCTGCCAAGCCCTAGACTGCTGCTCCCAGGCACCCTAGGTGGAGGTCGGGAATGGGCAGGCCCGGTGGGCCGAGGTTCAGCCGGCCGTCTGCCTGTAGTTGCCATTAATCTCCTGGGCGATGTCGACCGCCTCGGCGCCCAGGGGCAGCCGATCGCTGTACTCAGAGCCCGCCTCGAACTCCTCTTGGTTGGCCTTGGACTGGGACTCCACCAGTGAGCAGGCCGCCAGGCTCTCCTCTCTCTGCAGGTCCCCACTCGGGTCTCCCTGCTCCGCGTCTTCCTCAGGGCCCTCCCCCTGTGCGTCCTCTGGCTCCTCGACGCCCGCCTCGCCGCCTGCCGGGTAGCTTTTCTCCGACTCGAGGTAGGAGGCACGCGGGTCGAAGTCCGCGGCGATGCGCTTCTCCATGGGGTCAGGGGCCTGAGGCCGCAGGATCAGACGGTAGGGCTTGCCCGGGTGTTTAGCCAGCAGATGGCAGCAGGCGGCGCCCAGAAGAGGAACTGTGGCCAGCACCAGGAGGAATACGCTCACTGCCACGATGACCAGCAGCGAGGGCAGCTCCTTCTTGGTGGAAAACACCACTTGCACGTGGCAGGCTTCGCCCGCCAGCGCCAGGCACACGGAGTAGTTGGTACCGGGCCGCAGGCCGCGAAACCAGTAAGCGTTGACGCCTTCCTCCACGCGGGACCACTGCACTGCCGCGCCGCCCCCCGCTGGACACAGATAGAGTAGGCGCAGGGGTCGCCGCCCAGGTCGCCGGGCTCCGCCAGCCCCACCGGGCCCAGGGCCCCAGCGCGCAGCCAGCGGCGTCAGCTGCACCCGCGCCTCGCGCTCCGCCACATCCAGCGCGATGACGCCCAGCTCGAAGACGTGCGGCTTGAGCTCCGCGCTCTGGTTGAACGCGTGGTTAGAAACGTACCGAGAGGGGTCCCCGTTGCCACAGCGCTGCTCCTCCGCCGGGTCCGCGAGGATCTGGTCTTCGGTCTCCTCTCCCTCACCTGTGTCCTCCTCCGGCTCCGGCTCGGTCTCCCCAAGAACGCTGACCTTCGCCAAGCCTTGGCCTTTGATTTTGCCCTCGGGTTTGGAAGGCAGGACGCTGTTGCCCCGGGCCTTGGCTGTGGACTTGCGCTCAGAGGTTGGGGCCTGCCCATCGGGTTCTCCCCCAGCGCCAGGCCCGTGTTTTGGGGGTCCGGTTGCTGCCACCGCCACGCGTACTGACGTAGAGTTAGTGCCCAGCTCATTGTGTGCACGGCAAGTGTAGACGCCCGCCTCCTTGGCACTCAGGAGGGGCACCAACAGGGAGCCGTTTGCGAGGGCCAGGAAGCGCGGGGTGGCTGGGGGCGCCGGCCAAGCGGGTGCCGGTGTCGGGGTTGGGGCTTGGGTCTGCGTCAGCACGTCCCCATCTCCTTCTCCCTCTCCTTCCTCCACCCCAACCCCGTCGTCCTCCTCGCTCTGAACCGGCGGCTCTAAGACTACGGTGCCGCCGGGGATCTGCAGTTGCCATTGCAGGCGGGGCGTGGGGTGGCCGTCGGCGGTGCAGTGTAACAAGAACGCCAGTCCCGCTCGCAGTGGGGTGCCGGCTGCCTCAAGTGGCGGCTCAGCACTCAGACTCACGCTGGGCGGTGCACAGGGCAGGGCGGGCAGGCGGTGCACCGGCACCCCCTGCAGCGCGGGAGGCGAGGCACAAGCAATGGAGTCTGGCTCGGGTAAGGACACCCGGGTGCTCGCGGCCCAGGCCTGCAGCCACACAAGGCCGCAGCTGCAGTGGAAAGGATTGTGATAGAGTTGCAGGTGTGACAGCGCGCTGAGCGCGTCGAAGGTGCCCGGCGCCAGCGTACGCAGCCGGTTGTTGTTGATGCGCAGGGAACGCAGGTCAGGTAGCGCACCGAGTGCGTCCCGGGGCAGAGAGCCCAGGCGGTTGTGGTTCATTTTGAGCAGCTGCAGCGCGCTCAGGTTGCGCAGGTCGCTCCATGGAAAGCTGGATATGAAGTTGTGGCTCAGGTCGAGGTTCTTGAGCTGACTCAGCACGGCCAGTGCGCCTGGCTCCACGGTGCGCACCTCATTGTGCGCCAGCCACAGCGACGTGACCTGCGTGACGTCCGCAAAGGCCCCGCGCCGTAGCACCGAGATCTTGTTGGCAGACAGACTAAGCGTGGTCACATTGGCAGGCAGTCCTTCCGGCACCTCGCGCAACTCCTTGTAAGCGCAGTCCGCGAACTGGTGAGCGTACTTGTCCACGCAGGCGCACGGCTCCGGGCATGCTCCAGCCACTCCTAGAAGCGCCCAGACCAACCACAGGGCCAGAAGGGGGAACATCGCGGCTCCTGCAGATAGGGAAGCCAGAGGAGGAGGAAAGAAGGTGACTCACCGAACCCCAGCTTACCTCGCCTGTCGAGCTGTGCCTCCGCAAACCTGTCTAGCGCTAGTGCCAGGGCGCCGGTCACCGCCTCTATGGCCAGGAGCCTCTCTTGGCCAGAAGTGGAGGTCAATAAAAATCTCGGGGTTCAACAGATGCTGCCTCCCAGGGCCCTAATTTCCTTTTCCGGAGGCCGGGCACATCGCTCTTTTTTCCCTCCCTACTCCTTCCTTCACGCTGGAGCTGGCGCCTCCCCGTAGGCTCCGCAGCTCGCCCATCTCCAGCGGGCTTCGCACGGACCCCTCTCTTGGTTTCTAAGCCTTCATTTAACCCAGTGAAATGGATACCCAGGGGGGATATTTTGGGCCGTGACGGGCTGTCCTCCTTGGAACCTTTGTCCCAAGAACAGCACTCACACACACGCCCATGCTGGCGCACAACAATACAAACAGATGCTGGGGATTCATCATCAAACCGGCAACTTCCGCAGGGGCTTAGAGGACCTGGTGCTCTATTGGGAGGCTCACAACACATTTCCTAAACTCACAAACACATATGCACCCAGACATGGACACAATAGATTCTGGAGACCTCATTGTTCTCTTAACTGAACCGGCGTTTGTAGTTTTCCACCACCGTACAAAGCACTTTCCTGTCCATTGTGAGAACTGACGGGACACAAGGGCACAAGCCCTCTCACAAACTGACCCACCCACAGAAACAGGCGTGCGCCTGTGTGTGCACGCAGCCCTCCACTGGGACCAAAACCCAGCAGAGAAGCAATGGGAGAACTTGACCTGCCTGACTTGAGTCGTGGGATCTCGGGAAGCCCACCCCCATGCCCTTCAGCGACCAAGGCCAAAGTCGCCTGCGCGGGGCTGCAGCTCCTGTGAGCAGAGAAGAAGGGCTGCTCTGCCAACCTTCCTTATGGGGAAGAAGGTCCTTCCCCATGCTTGGACCAGGTGCGTTGGGGGAGCAGTCACTAGAGCTTCCCTTAAGTCCCTCAGATGGCTCCCGGTGGCGGCAGAAGCGTCCTCAGCCAGCAGGTCATGGGGCTGCCACTAGCTAATGAAGCTGGAGAAGGTGAAAGATTCTGCACCTTTCTCCACAGCTCTGCGGTGCCTAAGGACCCCCTCCCCATAACACCTTAAGCCTGGTCACACAATCGAACTTGCACAGACTCCCTGCCCCCATCTGGAGGGCCTGTCGGGTTTGGCAGAGCCCCTCCCACACCCTGTCTGTGGGAACCTATTCCTTCACTCTGCCTTTGCTTCTCTGGGAGGATCCCTCCCCTCCCTTCCCGGTTCCTCCCAGACAGCACCTCCCCACCCCACTCCTGCCCTGCCCCCATCAGGTGCCCAAGGCCGGACCTTTCCCCACCTGGGTCAAGGTTGTGGGGTGGCCCCCATTGCTTACCTGATATTCGTCGACTCCCAGTAAATGCCCTGGAGCTGAAACCCCTTCTCCAGACCCGGTGTAGTGGATTGGGGACCACTGCCCCAGGAAGATACCCTCGTGTATTGTGGCTGTGGGGAAAATGGGGGAGGTGGAGGCGGCAAAGAAAGGGACAGGTAAATTCGGGGAATCGGTGGCCCCAAAGTACCACTTCAGTTTCTCCCTTTGCGTCCGCTCCCCCCGCCTCTCTGGCTGCAGGTTGGAGAAAGTCCTTGCGCGCTCCCGGGCCTGGCGGGGACGCGCACAGCCTCTCCCACCTCCTGGTTCCTCTACTTTTGTTAAAGCCACAGAGACCCTCCCCAAGGCCAAGACACGTCGGTCACAAGGGGCGTCCCTCGCCCACCGTCCTGGCTGGGCTCTTCGCAGCCTACTGCACCCCCATAACCCACGTACCCTCACATTTACACACCCGCTGACATTGTTACTGTCCCTCATCACATCGCTCCCCACCCCATGTTCAAACACATTCGCGCACACATAGTCCCTCACACCCTCCCCATAGTCGACCTTCACGCGTTACAATCATCCAGGATCAGGTAATAATCGCATCAATCTGTGGAGCTCCCGCTACATTCAGACGCATTTTCACCGGCACACCTGCACCCGGGACACTTACCGTTCTCCTCTCGCACACACAGACACACATTCGCTCGAACTCACCCTCACGCGCCCGTCCCGCCAGCGCCCGCGAGCTTCGCTGCTAATTGAATGCAAGCCGCTTTCACGCCCTGCAACACGTGAGACAAACCATCTTTGAGGAATTTGGGGGAAGGAAAGGCGCGCGGCTGAAGTAGGGGGGAAGGCGTGTCTTTGCCTTTAAACTCTTTTTGCAAATGCAGGTGGTGGCAGCGAGAGACCTCGAGCGGGACCCGCTGAGCTGCGCGCAGCCGAGCTCGCGCGGACCCATCCTTCCCGCACCCCCCGCTGCTAGCCGCCTCCTCCCCGAAGCCACGTTCAACACAATGCATAATTGATAATGTTAGCAGAGCGCCTCACCCTCCCTGCCATTTTTGCCTGGATCTGGGCTGATATAAGCCCCAGTCTCCCCCGCCACCCCCTCCCCACGCCGCCTGCCAGTCTAACCGGAGACCAGAACGCACAGCCCTGCAGGGCGTGCTGGGAAGGGACGCCCCCTTCCCCAGTCCACGGCAGCCCTGCCCAGCGTCTTAAGCCGGAACTCTTTACATCTAGTCTTTTGTGGCTAACCCAGCCCTTGAAGCCGACTGCCCCACGAGTTGGCCTGCGCGCACCACGGAACAGGTGGAGCAGGGAGAAGCTCTTCCGAGCGCACCCAAGCACCTCACTTTCAGGTCTTGCCTGCTCCAGGAGAATGGGGCACAGAAGCTGCAGCAGACAGAAGCACAGAAAAGGATGGTGGCAAAACGTCCGCTACTCTTGAGCCTTGAGCGCGTTGGGCTGAGGACTTCAGACAGGAGCATTTCTCCCATGCTCGCCCCCTATGTCTTCACAGCCTCTCAAGCAGACACACGGTCAACCCCACACGCGCTATCCCCCAAGCCGCGGTGGCCACCCACCGCCCCGCCGTCTCACACAACAGCGGGCTTCAACAGACTCGCTGTTCCCGACTCTCGCTCCCTAGCTCTGATGAAACCCCGACATTTCTTTCAGCGACGAGGAGGCGGAGGCGCAGGGATGTCGAGGCATTTGGCTAAAACCCGGTTTCCGCCCCCTGCGCCGCCCACGTTAGCCCTGGAGACAGCTACCGGCCAGAACCGGGAAAGGGGTTTAGGCTACGGGAGACACACAAAATCCCCACCCGTTCTGTAGCCACCCAGCCATTCGGGCTCACCAACCCCCTCAGCCATCACCCCGGGCCTTGAGGGTCTCTCGCGGTGGGTCGATGGCATGGGTTTGGGGCTTCTGTGGAGATCAATATCCCGATTTGAGTGTTGAGCATCTTAATGAGCTAGGGGAGGGGGTGGGGAAGAGAGACAGGCTAAGAGCGCAGCATCTAAAGAGACAATCCGGCCCCGGGGTTCCGAGACTGCTTTGTAAATTAAATATGAACAGACTGGTGCGCTCACACTCCGTGTCCCTCCCTCTCTCCTACTCCTGCGGTCGCTACAGGCGGCCCAGCGGGCTGGGACCGTCGCATCTCGCTCAGTCCAGTTCAGAACACAGAACTTCACACCGCCTGCTCGGGCCTGGGGTATCCCCAGCCGACCCACGGAGAGGGCGCGGGGCGCCTTTCGGGGAAAGCGTCTTCGAGAAGGGTCGAGGGGTGACAGCACCGTGGCCCGTCCCTGCCAGGGACCCTGTGTTGGGACAGACAGGATTGGGTCCCTAGCCTGGGAGTGAGTCCCTGAGGTTTCTAGGCCTTGCGGGGTCGGGAGAGTGACGCAGACGGCTGGACCGGCACGGCCTTCTTTGTCTCCCGAACATGGTGGCGGTTGGGGCGGGGAGCGGCGTCCTGGGCAGTTATCCGGGTCTTGGGAACCCTGAGGGGGCGGTCTTGGGAGCCTGTGCCAGGGAAGGATCTTAGGAGGCAGGGCCCAGCAGCTGCAGCTGAGTCCGGTCTGGGATGGCGTGTCCAGGGGACTTTTCGGGACTGAGTGAGGGGCGCCAAGCCGGGAGACTCAAGGCCCCTGGGCCCTCCCCCGGTTTTCACCTATTTTCTTTCTTTTTGCCTTCGGCAGGGAGGCAGAATCTGGGTAGTGGACGGGACAATGGGCTCGCTATCTGCCCAGAGCTTCCCGGGACTTCAGGAACCGGTCCCATAAAGCAACCCCGTAACCTCGGGGTCCGAGGACCAGGGAAGACCCCCTTTCCTTGCTCTCTTGACAGGATTGCAGAAGCCAAGGCGTTCAGCAGGGAGACGGGGCTCTCGGGCCTGGAGGGTGGCTAAGGATGCGGTGACCATCCCTGCGCGGGCGCTGACTCCCGCGGGCCGCCGAGGCTCTAGCTCACTCTGCAGCAAATGCTTTTGTCCCCGAAGGCTGCCCTGGGGAAAAGACGCCCCTTACCCCTGCCTTCGACCCTGGAGAGCCCAGTGCCTGCCGGGGCAGGGCTGGAGCCGAGTCGCCCCAGGTGGAGTCCGCCGAGGCCTGTAGTGGGAGCCGCGACTTCTGGATCTGTCTCCGAGCTCAGCCAGAAGACTGCGCGCACCTCGTCCGGTGCCGCCCGACGCGCAGAAGCGGGTCTAATGTTTATAACGTTAATAATGACACAGTTACGGGAGGGCTGGGGAGCCGGGAACCGAGACATCACCCCGCCGCCGCCCACGTCTTTGATCGTTAAAGAAACAGACAACTAATCAGGTGTGTGGAAGTAAGGGTGGGGAGGGGAGGGTGATAAGATTCCAAGCCGCGATCGCAGAGGGCCCCAGATTCAGAATCTGCGGAATCCAGACTAAGGCTGCTAACTAGGCTGGGACCGATCCCAGGCAGACCCAGGAATGGAGAGCTGGAGCGCCTGGCCGCTTTTGGGGCATCGACCCCTGACTTCAAAGTCGCGAACCCCGAGCGTCGGGAGGGCGGGGAGGGTTGAAACCCGATGGATCTGGGGACTTGCTCCCACGACTGCGTCCGCGCTGTCCTAGGGCCCAGGCCCGGTCCGCGCGCGCCCCCTGCTGGACGCTGCTTGCAGGGCGCAGTGGCGGGTCAGTGGCGGAGGATGCTGGCTGGACCCCTGCAGTCCCGCTCGCAATATTTCAGTGGGGCGCGCTTAACTGAAGTTCCCAGGCTTTACTTCCCATGCCCACCCAGTCTATGTCCCAGGTATCTGCAACCTCTGGTCACTTACACAGCACAGGCGCGGCCTCTACTTCGCGGTGCGGAGTGTTTCTAGTGCCCAGGGCGTGTCCTAATTCTTGAGCTACTCGTCCCTGGCACGAAAGCTTTCTATACGCCTCTCCCACTCTCCCGTCTCTCTGAGGCTTATGACTTTGTCAGGGGCCTATTAAAATAAATGTGTGAGATCTGAAAAAGAAAGTCTGTTGGCGCCAAGAGGGGCAAAGAAAACTGCAAAATTGGAAGTAATCGATGTTTGATCGAATGTTTAGGGCATGCAATATTGTGCAAATGATTCTGTTGCAACTGCACACTCAGAGTCGTACATGCCCTTGTATTTTAATGTGGCACGTGGAGGATTTAATGGACTTGCCTAAGGATGTGGGAAGGGCCTCTGAGAATAGGAAAGCTGGGGCCCAGATGGGCATCAAACATCGCAGCACAGCAGCCGGCTAAGGCTGCGGAGACCTTCCCCGCAGCTGCCCTCCAGCCAGAAGCCCCTGAACATTCACTGCTTCCCATCTTTCAGCTTCTGCGCGCGCGCGCGCACACACACACACACACGCACACACACACCTCTCTTCAGCCCCTCACCTCCAAGAAGCTGCTTTCCTTTTCTAATTTCCAGTCAAAAGATGACTCCTCAGGGAAGCCAGGCCCTGTTTATACTCCTGCCACGGCCTTTCCTTGTACGGGCAGGCTCTATGTAGTCATCAGGAGGGCAGGTTCTAGCATCAGACTCCATCATGTACTGGCTGTGTGTCCTTAGCCAAGTGATTTAACCTGTCTGTGCCTCCAAGAAGAAAAGGCATAAATAAGAGCATCACCCAGGCATGGTGGCTCATGCCTGTAATCCCAGCACTTTGGGAGGCCGAGGCAGGCGGATCATGAGATCAAGAAGGAGTTCCAGACCAGGCTGACCAATATGGTGAAACGTCATCTCTACTAAAAATACAAAAATTAGGCCGGGCGCAGTGGCTCAAACCTGTAATCCCAGCACTGTGGGAGGCCGAGGAGGGTGGATCACGAGGTCAAGAGATCGAGACCATCCTGGTCAACATGGTGAAACCCCGTCTCTACTAAAACTACAAAAAAAAAAAATTAGCTGGGCATGGTGGCGCGTGCCTGTAATCCCAGCTACTCAGGAGGCTGAGGCAGGAGAATTGCCTGAACCCGGGAGGCGGAGGTTGCGGTGAGCCGAGATGGTGCCATTGCACTCCAGCCTGGGTAACAAGAGCGAAACTCTGTCTCAAAAAAAAAAAAA